CCAACTATGGAGCAACAAAGATTAAGAACTTTGGTAGGTTTGGTAGAACCAGGAAGAAATCTCAAATCTGGGGCTGGAATATTAAAAAAAGGCTCAAGTGTTTGCCTTGCAGGCTGCTGTGTCCTGGTTTAGAATCCTGGCCCTGAGCACAGGCCAATGAGCCTTCCCCTGGCCCCCCAATACCACCCACCCTATTTTAAACACTTCCCAGGAAGAAGGAAAAGCCCACATCTAAGGCAGAGTGGGCTCCAGATGGCCAGAAGCTTGACACAGAATCCGGGAGGCCATCTCAGTGGAGGCATTTTGTTTTCTCTCCTGGGCTCGGTTAGGTTTTAGGGGAAATTCCAGGGAGAAATTCTGGAAAAAGTCCAGAAATAGCTGGAAACCACCTTTGGTGAAGAAGGATAGGCGGCCCAGGGCATCGAGGGGGAGTGGCCAGGTGAGGAAAGACATTCAGAGTCTGCGACATCCAATTAAGAGGCTGAGATCTATTCCCACCACACAAGAAAGCCAGGTGAGCTCTTGGCAGGCAATCTTCCTGATGCTAAATTGAAAGGGTCCTTTTTTCCCCTCTAGGATGTATATCTACACTCTGGAAGATGATACAACTCAGAGCCCCCTTTGAAAAGGCGGGGGGGGGGAGGGAATCATCCTTCCAAACATATGGATGGTAAGTCTGTCCTTTTCATTTCATTCTGTACCATATGGCACTCTGAATTTTTAGACAGAGTTGATGGATTGACTTCACAGATCAAAACTTCGTAAGAGACATCTTCGTCTGTTACTTTTATATTGGCCCCAGTAACTATAGCCGATGCCCAACGTCTCAGTCTAATACAAGGAAGCAGTGACAACTTCTCAAGTCTGTAGATACCCTTGGTCAATCCAAAGTGCAATGCGAGAGTTACACACACACACACACAGACACACAGAGGCATACACACAGGCGCAGAGACATAGGGCAATTCGCCTGTAGGTTCCTTAGCTAAGAACTAAAGTAATGGGACTAAAATCATTCCAGTCCCATGAAAACTACTAAGGGACATACAGAGGTACTTTCACCTCAAAACCACTGCCATCTGATTAGTTGCGGCACCATATTTTTAGGTAATACTTGCACAATTTAAAGCAAGACTCATCACCTCCTGAGCACTGCTAGGAGTGATCCCCAAGGACTGCGGAGGGAGAAGCCCCTTAGCATCACCAGATGTGCCGTTCACCAACCAAAACAACAACAAAACGAATCCGCAGTTTCAGTAAAAACCATGGCGATCGATAGAGGGCCGGGGGTGTGGGGCAAAGGAGATACTGGTGGGATGGAAGTGGTGTGTTATACATATAATCTCTATAGTATTGTAAACCTGTGATAAATCAATTAGCAAATACTTTTTAAAAAAATGTTACATAATTGTAGCCCAAAACATTTTGGTTGTTTTTTTCCCCTCAAAAGTATTGGCATAGGGGCTAGAGCAGGTTGGGTATTTGCCTTCCTTGTGGCTGACTTGGGTTTGATCCCTGGCATCACATATAGTCCCCCAAGCACTGCCCGGAGTAATTTCTGAGTGCAGAGCTGGGAGTAACCCCTGAGCATCAGCAGGTGTCACCCCAAAAGCCAAATACACACACAGGCATAAACTTGGTGACAGCTTTGTGGTAAAATGTGGTGAATATCCACAAGAGAACATGAGCTAGAGACATCAACATATGTTTATACTAAATTCAGACATTTTATTTTGGGCGCTTGGGGTCACATCCAGCTGTGCCAGGGCTCACTGTGATCTGGTGGAGAACAGGGGACCATATGTGATGCTGAGGATTTGAGCTGGATCGGTCACCTGCAAGGCAAACTCCATTCCCCTGTACTATCTCTAAAGCCTACAGTGTCACTTTATTGTTAGTTGTTGCTTTGGAACCACATCTAGCAATGATCAGAGCTTACTCCTGGCTCTGCACTCAGGGATCACTCCTGGTGCAGTGCGGGAGACCATATTGGGTGCCAGGGACTGAACCTGGTTTGGCTGTGTACAAGGCAAGCCCCTTATCTGCTGTATTCTTGCCCTGGCCCCTACAACACCATTTGTAAAAATGGCATTTGTAAAAGTGGCATTTTAAAAACACATGATCTCAGGTTTTTAGGAGCTAGGATTAACTTCCCTATTAGGCTTTCTAAATAAATTTGCTAGAGGTTTTTTTTTTTTTTTTTTTTTTACAAGTGTTTTCCTAAGAGAGCCTCCTCAAGGATTTCTAAGTTGCTCACACATCAAGGCTATGTCCCCTAAAACCTTCTGTTATTAAACACTTGAGTCATCGCATTGTTCCCAAGTGCCGAGATGTTTCAGGTCGATAAGACATCTAGACACTGTCTACACCTTGTGTCTTCATCAGATATTGGCCATGAATCAGATACAACCTCAAAGAGAAGCTTAATTACAGCGGGTTGGTAACCTATTAATTGTAGGTTAGCTCAGGGGAGTTACCGAGACGAGTCCCACCGTGCCAGGCTCGCCAAGTGCTAGCAGCAGAGCTGGCCGCCTGAAACACCCATTTGAGTTCAGTCCGTTTTCTTTCCGCTAACTGTCAACAGCCGTGGGGAGGTGACCAACTGGGCTCTGTGGCACAGAATAAATGACCCGTCTTTCAATAACGACAACGTTGTCATGTTTATAAGATGAAACTTGAGTACAAAGGGCAGGCAGGGATGTGGGCTGCGCCCCAGCCCCTGAATGCAAACTAACAGGGGAGCCTCAAAGCAAAGGCTACGTGCATCTCAGACAGGAGCCAGGCTTAATGAGCTTTCGAGATTGTTCCGACTACAAGCAGCATTAAAAGCCACCTGGGCGACTCCTCATTTTAAAGGTAAATTTGTACATTAAAAGGAATGGGGGTGGGAGGGAGCAAGAGAGAAAAGCCAGACCCAGGGTTCTCCGATTTCAATAATTGGGTGGTTTGCTTACATTTCTACACTTTTATCTGCACTTGCTCTGAGCTGCTTATCTCATTTGCTAAAAATGTAAGCTTTCCAGATCAGGAACTGAAATGTAAACATTTGTGCTTTGTAGTGGGGGATAAAGGCTCTGAATGCAGCTGCAAAAGAAACCAGACTGTTTCAATGTCTCCCCCTGGTGGACACCGTTGCAACTACATCAACATAAATAGAATGACCTGGCAGCGAGGAATAAGACTTACTGAACATTAAGATGAACTGTTATTTTTTTTGGTGTGTGTGTGTATGTGTGTGTGTGTGTGTGTGGTGTGTCTGGTCCACATCCAGAAGTGCTCAAGGCTTCCTGCTGGGTCTGAGCTCAGGAATTACTCCTGGCAGTGCTCGGGGGACCACATGGGACGCTGGGGATCGAACCAGGGTCGGCTGCACGCAAGGCAAATGCCCTACCTGCTGTGCTATTGCTCCAGCCCCAAGATGAACTCTTTAGTGCATATATTAAAACAAAACCCAAAAATCCCCTCGTGGCTACAGAGCTAGCTCACGTGTGCTGAGTGCATGCTTTCCGTGCAGGAAGCCTAGGTCCAATTGCTAGCACCACATGATCTCCTACCCATCTTCAGGCATGACCTCTGAGCACAGAGCAGGAAGCACCCTCTGAGAGCACTGCTGGGTGTGCCAACTCCCCCCCCCGCCCCCCCCCCCAAAAAAAAAAACCCCAGAAAAACAAGGGGCTGGAGTGATAGCACAGTGAGTAGGGCGTTTGCCTTGTACGAGGCTGGCCCTGGTTCGATTCCCAGCATTCCATATGGTCCCCAGAGCAACAGCAGGAGTAATTCCTGAGTGCAGAAGCAGGAGTAACCCCTGTGCATTGCTGGGTGTGACTCCCCCCAAAAAAGCAAAAAAAAAAAAACCCAAACTACAACAACAAAAAAACCCCAAAAAACCCACAAACCCAAAACTCAACTTAAAAGAATTCCTGTTATACCAATGGCAAGTGGAGCTCAGAGCAAGGCGCTAAGCCTCTCTTGCTGTCCATGGTAACAGCATGACTTACCCTGACCGCATACGTCCTTTGCCCATTGAGTCACATGTCCCTCAAGCCAGCAATACTGACTTTCTCCTTTCATTTGTATAAGACACTGGGGATTTGGCGGCCACGCCCCCTGTTTCATGGCTTTTGTTTTTGGAAGCAGGAGGGGACAGGTGGACCAGTGAAAGGCTAACAAAACAGATGAGAAGGAGGCAGAGATACTGCAGCAGGGCGGGTGCTTGCCTTGCATACTAGTCAACCAGCGTTCAATCCCTGGCATCCCATATGGTCCCCTGAGCCTGCCAGAAGTGATCCCTTAGCGCAGAGCCAGGAGTAAGTACAGCCTGATGTGCCTCTTGCCTCACCCTCTCCCTGACCCTCCCCCCTAAAAACCGGAAGGGAGGTGACAGAAACAGGAAACAGACATGAGAGTAGGTTAAGAGACTACAAGACGGTAACCTCTGAGGGACCCTCTGAGAGGAGGCCACTGAGCAGCCAGCCATGCAGAGACTTGGGGAACAGAATCCGCTGAGACATGGATTGTCTGTGCAAAGGCCAGGAGCCAGAAAAGTGTGCCGGCAGCAATTAGACCAAAGTGCTCCGGAAGAGAGAAGCAAGGTGGGTTGAGAGCTACAGGAGCTGGGAGAGGTAGGCAAGGCAAAGGACCAGGTAGGTGATGCGAAGGTCTGTATTCCAAGGCAGGCACTGTGCGGTTTGGAATGGGGAGTCTGGCACAAAAAACGGGCTGTCTGCAGAGTTTGCTGCAAGTGGGCACGGGGCGGGGCTTGGCTGTAGCTCCCCCAGCACATTGGTGGCCAGGCCTGGACGGATGGCTCAGGTCTCGAGATTCTCAGCCTGGCATCAGGCCCTCCCCGGTGCCACACAACCGAGGCAGGTACAGGGGCAAAGAGTGGGAGCAGCCTGCCCTCTGCGCCCCACCATCCACCCATCCAAAGGCTTCTAGTCCCGGAGAGAAGCCGGTGCCGTGCAGCGCTCGGCCTGCAGGGGGCGCGGCCCCGCACTCACCCGCTCGTGAGGTCCTCGGCGCGCATGTTCTTGCTCAGCACATCCCCATCACTCATGTAGCCCGGCGCGTCCATGCTGATGGCCTCCAGCTCCAGGTCCGGGCCCGCCTTGTCCGAGACGTCCACGTGGCAGAGGCTGTTGCCCCTGGGGGCCAGCTGCCTCCTTAGCGGGGCCGAGTACACGTAGCGGCCCGACTCGGTGTTGATGAAGCGGCTGGCGTTGGCGCGAGGCGGGTACCCGTTGCCCAGAGAAGGGGCATCTCCCGCTTGGAGCCGCGGGCTGGACTGGCCGAGTCTCCAGGACAGCGGGGTGGGTCTCCCCGTCAGGCTGAGGATGCTGCGCCCACTTATCTCCGTGGTGACATTGGTGTCGAAGGTGGTTTCCAAGGTGCTGAAATTAGAAAGGTGGGTGTTGGGTCAGCCCCAGCCTCTACCGCAGATATTCATGCTGCATGACTGGCATGCAGTTCTTTCACTTTTTCATAAATAAAAAATAATAATAATAATAAAAAAAACCACCCAACAACATGTCCCTTGGGTCTGGAGCGAGAGGACTGCAAGTAGAGCACTTGCCTTCCATGCAGTGCACCTGAGTTTGAGCCCTGGCACTCCATAAGGTTCCCTGAGCCCCGACGGAAGTGATCCTGAGTGCAGAGCCAGGAGAAAACCCTGAGCACCACTGGGTATAAACCCAAAACAAAACAAAAACTTCTCCTGGCAATAACTACGTAATTGTTCTTCTCCCTTCTTTCTTTTTTCTTATCCTTGTACCAAAATGGGAAGATGTCTTTTTTTACTTTTTTGCTTTTTGGGTCACACCTGGCGATGCACAGTGGTTACTCCTGGTTCACACACTCAGGAATTACTCCTGGCGGTGTTTGGGGGACCATATGGGATGCTGGGAATCGAACCTGGGTTGGCTGCGTGCAAGGCAAACGCCCTACCTTCTGTGTTACTGCTCCAGACCTGGAAGATGCGTCTTAGTGGAACTATGGTGAATGAACTCACATTTCTAAATCAAGTCGTCATTCTGTACATCCTAAGCCTATACATTGGGGGGGGGGGTGGAGTAAAAGCTGAAACTGTGCATCTGTGCAATATTCTGAAAAACTTGGGGGAGATATACCCCCAAAACCCATGGGACAGGAGGTCCACTACTCACAACTACCTTGATGAAATGATCTTAACTATTGGAATCTTCTTCCCAAACCATGGAAGGAAGTAGAAAATACTGGACTAGGAATGACAGGCCAGAGAGGTGCCATCTGTCCTATCATTCTAGAATGATCTGCAAGCAGTGGCACAGCCTTCCTTTCCTAAAGCCAAGGTGTGCCCATTCAAAGTAAGAATCACCTAATGCAACAGCTCACCTCTGCCATTCCCTCCTGACTAAGCAGTGGGAAGAGCCCTGCTCCTTGAATTCTATAAGGTCCATTTTCCTCAATCTTTTCCCCCACATTTTGTCCAAAATGACATCTGAATTGAGAATCCAGGAAAGATGCTTTGGAGCTGGGAGTTGAGAACAGGGATACACTGAATTACACAACATGGCTCTGCCATGATGGAGCTCAGGCCTAGTCACGTGAACTCCCCACAGGCTTCACGGCTCAGAGAGGACATTGCTAAAACTCCTCAGAGCTGCCACAGAGATTTCCCAACTGGGCTACATGAGTCTTTTTTGCAGAAGAACCATCTTGCCATTTCTCTGTCCTGATCACCATCTGAGTTCAAGCCAAGAAACCATCAAACTGTGGGCAGCTTCGGTGATTATGGTAGAAGCAGGGGATGCTTCATACCTCATAACAGGGTCACTGGGTCCTGCCTCTGGCTTTCAAGTGTTCAGATATCTAAAGGTGTAGGGGACCGACCAAATCACCACCCCCCTGGAAAAACTGATTCAAAGCTTCACCTGCTGGTGGCCCCAATTTCCTCAGAGTGGGGTCCCCTGAGGTACAGCCCCAGTTTTATTTAAGACAGAATGCACTGTGGTTACCCCAATCTACCAAAACTGCTGGCAGTAGGGGAGTCTTGCGGTCTCCTCTCCACATTCATTCATCAAGAGCCTGAATTGCAGATTTGTGGAAGTCTGGTGGGAGCAAATTGGGGCTTTGCCTTGATTCTCAAAACCAAACACCGACTGTGAAACTTGATTCTTTCAAAGCCATGAACGGGGCCTGGGGTCTCAGCCCCCTCCACATCTTGCTTGACAAGGAGAACAGACTGACAAGTGTTTCCAACAAACTCCTAGGTTTCACCGAACTGCATCCTGGTTTAAACATGATCCTGAGTTTTTAGGATTATTTCCTTAGGTGTCTTACTATGTGCATGACTAACAACATTACGGTGTTATCAGAGGAGCGGGTAGGAATTCAAGTTATTCTCTTTATCACACAGGTCAAAAGGAGTGCAGCTGCTGGTTCAGCAGCTAGGCCCAGAGCTATGGAAAATGCATGCACAGTGAAATTTAAATGGAGCTTCTTTACTTCCTGTGAAACACATCTAGCAACTGGCTTTGCAGAGCAATCCGGAATCCTTCTCAGGTTTGTACTCCTTATTTAGGCATGTTGGCTGGAGGGCATTCTTGGTGAGTGCCTGAAGATTTGAGAATCAAGGACATATACTCCATTGTTTTTGTTTGTTTGTTTGTTTTGTTTTTGGGTCACACCTGACAATGCTCAGGGGTTTCTCCTGACTTTGCACTCAGGAATTACCCCCAGGGTCTTAGGGGACCCAATGGGGTGCTGGGGATCCAATGTGGGTCTCTTGGCAAGGCAAACACCTTACCTGCTGTACTATTGCTCCAACCCCGTTTACTCCATTATTAACCCAATCACTTTACCAGAGGCAGAGAGAAGCAGTGTGACTGCCCGTGCTAGCTAGCTCAACCAAGTCATGCATGCTGCAGTTACCTGTGTGTAACCTGAGTTCCCCGTAAACTGGACATGGTCTCTTCCAAATTCTGCCGCAGATCAGCGATGTTTTTCACCGTCCGCAGTCGCCGAGCCTCCGGGTCTTCCCCTAGGAAGAGGAGGTTTATAAAGCAACTTTGACTTTTTGATGGATCATGAGGTCCCTGAGAGCAAGGATGGTGTTTGTGACTAGAATATTGTCCAAATTCAGTACCCAACTCCCTTGGGGATTCTTAGAAGAATCTGACAATGAGGAAAGGCATGATGGACTAAATGAATGGATCAAAGGTTGTGTGGAGGGGTAGTAAGTGAATGGTTGAATGGAAGGATGGATAAGAGGGTGGGTGGATGAATGGACAATTGGATAGGTGAATAGAGGGGTGGATGAATGGATGAATGTTGGATAAAGAGATGGATGTACAAAAGGAAGGATGCATAGATGGGTGAATGAATGTTCAAAGGAAGATGTTAAATCCAAGCAAAGAAGTTTTTCTTCTCCCTCCAGGCTCCTCTTAAAATAGATGGGGGAGTCTAGCTTGTGGAGAAGCAAAACACCTAATCCCATGTTTACACACGTTTACCCTGTTTCCAATAAAGACAGAGACAGAATAAATCCGGTCACTTTTCAGAAAGGAATTTTGAGCTATCCAAAAGTGGGCAAGGCATTTTATCATCTCATCCCCAATGATACATCCTGTCTTCCTGTCCTACTTGACAATTTGCAGTGGCTATAAAAAGACCCGTGAATCACAAATAGCTCTACAGAAAGAAGTTTGCCTCTTTAGGTTACATTTGTCATGTCATCTCAAGTCCTGGCTGTCCTGTGGCCTGTAGGTTCCTGGGGAAGATGCGGTTCCTCTCCATCCTTTGGATTCCATAGCCCTAAAGTGAACACAGCAAGAACGCTGACCTCAAAGGACAGTGCAGGGATGAAACAGCAACGGGCCTGGAGATAGCTCAATACCTGCCACACTCAGCCTTGTCTGCGGGTACTAAAGCGCAGGGGGCCAGTAAGAAACGTCAGGGCTGCTGGGGGAGGCAGGTGGGGGAGACTGCCAGTCTACGGACATGGGTGTCCACAAATACCCAGCCAGCCGGAGGTCAAGCTGACACAAATGTACTAGGAATCAACACCAAGAAGGATCACCCATAGCTCTGATTGGCTATGCCTTGGGCCTTCTGGCTGTTCCATTTGCGACACTGGGTTTACATGGGGATGACCTGGATGCCAGGGCTTCAGTGTGGAACAATGAAGCCACATCCAAGTGTGAGCTACTTGTGACATGCGCCAGTGTCAACAGGTTAAAGGAATCAAACATTTCCCTCTCAAGGAATTTCAGAGAGGGCTGAGAAAGACTCAAGAATACACAGTGAAAGGTTTATATACACGTCTGTTTTGAGACTCAGGTAACACATTTCCAACAAGATCTCCAGAGCCCATCAGGGGAGTTGCAAGTACGACTGACACTAGACATTAAGACTTCCCCGCAGTGGGCATTCCTATGGCTAGAAGAAGCTGAAGGATACCCTAGAATGAACCTTCCTGCTGAAGCAGAACACAAGGTCTTTATGGCTGCCAGTATTGAGACTGCAGCTTGCATACAATCTGTGATCTGTGATTAAAGGGGGAAAATTTGCTGCAGCCAACGCGATCCCTAGGAAGGCAAGTGTTTTCAATTTTCTCTCTCCCTTTTAACCAAGGAAAATTCGGAAGGCACTTTTCTTATCTGAAAAGTAGTAAAACCTGCATTTCCCTCCCAATTCTTCAAAGCACGTGTATGTGTTTTGAATGAAAAGCAATAATGAAACGCCTACCTTGTCTACCCCTCTGGCCTTGCGGGAATGTAAAATGTAATTGCTACCAATTAGATATCTCTCACTGCCAATCTGACCCCAATTTATCAAGGTAAGAATGCCCAAAAAGGTGCAGATTCTTTGGATAACTCTAAATACAGCAGTGAATACATACCTAGTAGGAAGCTCTAGGAAGACAGTTTCAAATGACTGTCATTGATCAGACACCAAAAGCATCATAATTCTATTTCTTATATATCCTTGTATTGATATTGAGGGGGGGGTTTTGGTCATACCTAGCAGTGCTCAGGCACGATTCCTGGCTCTGTGCTCAGGGGTCATTCCTGGTGGTACTTGGTAACCATATCTGGTGCTGGGGGTCCAAAGTTGGCAGGATATAAGACAAGTACCTTACTCCCTGTACTCTCTCTGGTCCTGTGAGGGTGTTTTAATCTGCATTAAGTCTCTTTTAGAAATTCAAAGATCTTTGAGACAGAACAACAGACTAGCACCTGTCCTTTGGGGAACCTCATGCAAATCTATTGACATCCAAAATATATTCAGTGTCTAAGAGAAGTTTGGAACAGGTAGAAGAAAAAGCACATAAGGGTCTAAAAAGTGGCACTGTCACTATTTGCCAGCTGACCCTGGACAAGTAACTCACTTTTCCCAAATGAGTGTGTTTGTGAGTGTGTGTGAGTGTGGCAGGGGTGATAAAAGCCCTTCCCTCAGGATAAGTAGAGAATCAGATGGCATGTAGGGTTTACAGGCTTGACACCTAGGAGAGCTCCCTAAATCTGGTTTTTCTGTTTTTTCTCTGGAGGGTTCTACAGGGAACTCTTTGCTCCCCACCAAGCCCTACAGAAAAACAGATTTTGAGAGCAACATGGACACAAAATGTAGGACTCTGGACTTAAAATGCTTGGCTTTGGCAGACCACATTCTGAGCTGCTAACCCTGGTCCTTAGAAGGCGGGCAAAGTGCAAGATTTTTTTCCACCAACAAAATTAATACACACCCACAATTTTGGAGGAAATGGCAGGTGTCTTTAGTTCACAAAAAAAAAAAAACAACAAAAAATGAGAGTTATACCCCTGCTTCTTGTGGCTCTCTTGCATTGGCCAAAGTCATCCCTCCCTCACATCACTAGTCATGAAAGAGAATGAGCCACATTCTGAACCTAACAGCACAGGGTTTGGGGGATGGTGAAAAGTGAGCATGGAAGGAACCAGGGATCTGTATGTGGAAGAGGGAAACATAAGGAATAAGCTGCTACATGAAAAAGAATGGCAATGGGCTGAGAGATTTGGGAGACTGAATTATATCCCGGGATTAGAAACACAAGAGTAAGGCATTGCACTATTAATGGCAACATAAGAAAAAAAAGGGAAGAACTTTTGGAAGAATTATCTTTTGGTTACAAGAGATGGAAAAATGATACATCATTGAATGGTAGAAGGGTTTTATGGGCTGAATAAGTGTGGTGTCGTCTAATTCAAAAATCTCGATTGTATTTCATGCAAATGACCAAGCCCATGAAGAAATATACCCATCTGCAAAAGCGAGGGGAAGAACTAAGCCATGGATGAAACAGTGTCATAAATGTCCATTTCTGAATGCATTCACCATTTGTTGTCATGTCCAAGGACTGGTTGTGGATAAATTAAATTTGACCTTGCAGTGCTCGGCAGAGACTTCATAAAATAATTCACAGGAAATTATGTGTGTATGTGTGTGCGTTCCACTGATTGGACATAAACATGAAGTGAGTAGGAAATCTCCATTAGCAATCAACACCGTCTGACTTCATACCAGAGAGCGCTTAGTCAAGCAGGGCTGGTTGATGAATTCTGTTGTTCATCAGGCAGGACTGGCTAAGGAGAAGATCTGTTTCCCAGGCCAATTGACAGCATCTCTCTGAGCTCCTACTTGGTTTCATAGTCCTGAGGCAGAGATGTACACAGAGAGAAAAGGGTGGAAAATGAGAGAGAGAGAGAGAGAGAGAGAGAAATAGACAAAGACAGAGAGACAGAGACAGAGAGAGAGAGACAGATACAGAGAAAGAGACAGAAAGAGAGACAGAGAGACAGATACAGGGGGAGATAGAGACAGGAGAGAGACAGAGAGACAGATATAGAGACAGAAAAAGAGACAGAGAGGAGAGAGAGAGACAGAGACTGAGAGAGAGAGAACAGGCTGCAGTCTGTCTCTTGGCAATTCAAGTGTCAAGAGGTATGTTCTGGAATGGCTGTCTCTCCTTCTCAAATGTGCGGTTTTGCTGAGCCTCTAGGTGTCTGAATCCTGTCAGCTCCACGGAACATGCATCTGATAAACACCAACTGGGCTGAGGGCAATGACCTGGCTCTTTTGATGGGAGCAAACTGGAACATGATCTGGAATGCGTATGAAGACTACGTGGTTGTGTGTCTGAACCCCACACATTTCGCCCAGAGCTGGGCCCTCTTGGCAGCTATTCATGTGGGGAAGCTACACATTCCCCTTTTCAAGGGAAAGGAAGGTAAAAATCAGTCCCAAATGTGGGGTGTGGAACCACCCTGAGATGGATCACTTACAAATGGCTTAAAAACACTCTTCTCCATCACTGCCCTGCCAGTGTAACCAGACACAATTCAAATGCTCAAATCCTCTGAAATGCAGCTAATGACAATGGGGGTAAAATTCAATCACTCATCTTGCGATTTCCACCTGCCATGGGGGCTATTACGATGTTGTGTGGTCATAGATATTTTGTCCTTTTAAAAATCTCTGTTTATAAATCAGTGGATTTTAAATAGGGTTTCAATGTTTGGCCCAACTCTGGAAAAGATAAGATACCAAAAGAATGGTGTGATTTACCTGTAACTATTACAGCTGTTTGCTACCCTGATCAGAAGGTAACGGAGCACAGGCAGAGAGAGCAGAAAGAGAGATGGAGAAAGTGCTGACTCCGAAGGCACCGCAGTGGGAAACTAACTCAGGTGCTTGCTCTTCTTTATATAAAGACCTGGTACTCGGGGCCAAAGAGATAGGACAGGGGTTATGGTACTTCCCTTGTATATGACCAACCCCAGTTTGGTCACTGGCACCATATATGGTTCCTTGAACCCTTCCAGGAGTGATCACTGAGCTCAGAGCCCCCAGCACCCCCAGGAATGTCCCACAAATGAGCAAACAAAAAGGATCTGATAAACATTATTAAATAAATATTTGTGAAATTAATAATAGAAAGCAATGTACTTTTTTAAAAAAACATAATAATCTTTAACCACAATTATCTGGACTACAGTTAAATAAAATCAAATTTTTTTTTGGTGGGGTTGGTAGAAGGAGCAGACTGTGGTCTTCTTTCCAATGAATAAAGCCTGTTACAAACACATTTCAATCAGGACTTCCACACAGGAGAGGGGAAAAAAAGAGTTTTTTGAGTTCTGACTCTTCTTGGAAAGCAACTTTATCTGAAGAATAAACAAGGAGATGCAAAGTTAAGTCAGCGTCTTTGTATCAGAGCAGCCTGCACTGAGTCAGTAAATGGATGGAGTGGGAATAGAGCTTAAAAATCAGATTTGGCAACAGGTCAAATGAGGTAACATATTGATAGGGTGAGCATGGGATGGCAGAGAGTCAGAGCTCACAAGAAAGCGTGAACAGGAAAAGAAAAAGAAAACTGCAAAGAGAAAAAATAAGGTTTCTCAATCAATACTACAGAACAGCAACCTCACATCAAGTTGGCTCATGCCGGGCGGCCAGCAGTAGACACTTCCATGGGAGATCTCATCACCACAACAGATCCAGCATTTCTGGGCTCAGTACTCACCGGTGAGTTCTTCCAGAGCGGGCTGTCCACTCTTGGTGTAGTGGCTTGGCTCCATGCTCACGCCTGCAGAGCCGGACTCGGCAGTGACATTCCCTTCCGTGTCTGTCTGGGACCTTTGCACACAAACCAAAGCAGATGCACTGGTCAGTGGAGAGAACGGGCACATCTGGACTGGGCTCTGCCCACAGCACCCACCACCACCGCCTTTAGCCTGGAGCTTCGGAACACCGCAGACGGGTGCTAAATAATTCATTAGCGCATGTGGAGCAATGTCCCAGAAACAGAGACAGCCACCCAACTGTAAAAGATGAAATATTCATCGGCCAAAGGCAAAGTCTGTGATCCTGCTCTGGGGGGTGGGGTGGGGTGGGGTGAGGTTTAGCCAAGAAAACGCTCAGGGGGTGCTGGGTGGTTTGGAATATCTTCTATACCAAAGAGCAACTTCTAAAGAACCAAGAACACGAGGAAGTCAGACATGAAGATGACTCCACTGACAACCCCAAGGCTGCCTCCCCCACAAAAAAAAAAAAAAAAAGAAAAAAACAACCCTCCTGACATGGCTCTTCTGAAAAGGTGACTCTAAACCAGTCAGGGGTGGGTGCCAAGCAGGTGTGTTTGCCCTCTAGGCTTCTGATTCAGAGCTCAGATCTCCTGACATGAAAGGTCTCCTTGATTGTTATTTCAACACTTGACTGAAATCCGTACTTTCCCCAAAAAGTCTCACTGCCCTTATTTGTCAAGCAAATTGGCTGCTCCATGCCACGGGTCCTTGACACGAGCTCTCTCTGCTCATGGGTCTGAGCTCGGATGTTGACTCCAGGTATAATATTATTAGTCCATTTGCAACCAGAGTGAATTCAGCCCGATTTCACTACTTCATATAAAAAAAAATACTGCCAAAAATGTAAATGGCCTTAACGTGTGGGGAGGGGCAGACACCTGTCAGATCATTCATGAACTCTGCTTCTCCTTCTTTCTCCCTCCTGAAGCACCTGGCTCCCCATGCCAGCCATCCTTACCTCTGAAGGGTTCTCATGCCCTGGGGGTTCTTCACTCCCTAGCTAGTCTCCATGCTCTCCTCATCTCTGTCCACACCACACAAATAAACAGCTGCAGCCTTTAGCAACTGGCAACTGGGTGGAGAAACTAGTGCCCCAACCCCCCCCCCCCCACATTTCTTCTTATTGGTATTCATAGTACTTTAAAATTTTTCAATGAGGGTCTGGAGTGACAGTACAGCAGGTAAGGTATTTGTCCTGCATGCGGCCAACCCAGGTTTAATCCCCATCAACCCATATGGTCCCCAAGCACCTCAGGGGGATGAGTGGAGAGTCAGGAGTAACTCCTGAGTATTAAGGGATGTGTCTCACCAACAAAAAGTTTTTCAATGAACCCCAGTGTTTAAAGAGTGGGGAAATTTTCATACAAAATGCCTGGCTCTTCTGCCTCTTCCCAGCAAACTAAGGGAAGTTCCCGTCTGAGCTCTCATTCTTGTAGGCTGCTGCCTCTGGCCCGAGCTAGCTTTCTCTGGACCCATGACTCATCTCACCTCTGGGACACCGGTGCGGCCTTGGAAGCATGACCCCTGTTTGAGACACGCTCCCATCTGTCCTCTCTCCTTTGGCCCCAATATCCTTGACTGGTCTTTGCGACATGAAGTGATGCTATTGCCGTCAAACAAAGGGCTTCTGGGGATTGTCCAGTGCCTACAGGAGAAAGTCTAAACTCTGTGCATCCTGGACACTCCCTTTATTTCCAGCTCTTGCCACTCCCCGCTTTAGACACCGTCCCGCCCTCTGACCCACCCACATGGGGCTCCTCTGCTCCCAGATTCTGCCAGGCCCTTAACAGCTGGCCTTCTCTGGGACTCCTGAATGTTCCTGAGGTCATTCCTCATCTGCCTTGAGTCCCATCCCATGTCATCCTGGTCTGGAAACCTTCTTGGACTTTGCCCAAGTAAGGCTTCCTGCCCCGGCATGTCTGCATAGCTCTCTCCTGGTTTTCCTGAAGTAAACTTCCTGATGAACCTGTGAGCTGGTGAGTGACCCTTCCTCAGCTGAGTGAGAAGCACTCTGAAGGCCATGATATGTGCACACACAAACCTGGTTAGCATGTAGGGCCGGGGGAGCTGGAGCATAGACCTGCATCCATTAATCCTGACTTCCAAGCCAGCACTGTATACTCCCCAAAACATATTTTGGGTGTGGCCCCAGGGCTCCCTTGTGTTAGCTGGGACTGCACACACAGTCAGGCTGACAGTGGCCGGAAGTGACCCTTAGTGCCCCCCCCCCCCCAGCTCTGCTCAGGAGGCCTAAAAGTTTTAATTAAGAATGTTTAAAAGTATGTCATCTGGGGGCTGAAGCAACAGCACAGCGGGTAGGGCATTTGCCTTACACGGGGCTGACCTAGGTTCGATTCCCAGCATCAAATATGGTCCTCTGAGCACCTCCCGGAGTAATTCCTGAGGGCATGAGTCAGGAGTAACCCCTGGGTATCGCCGGGTGTGACCCAAAAAGAAAAAAGAACAAAAAGAAAAGAATGTCATCTGTTCAAGCTGAACAGGTACACAGGTAGAGTGAGCTGAGTGGACAAATGAGAAAATGTTCAGTCTATGAAGATGCTGAGTACTGGATGAAGCATGAGGCTGGACGTGTGAACCTTGAGCTGGCCGAGGGTCTGCAGTTCACAACATGGGCCCCTGCTCCCTGATGAGTGAATCTCTTCACCTGTGGGAGCCTTGGGACTCTCATCTCCATGGCTGGGACAACAGCAAGTCCCAGCTGTGAGCAGGAGAAAGTGGTAGAGTCCACTGCTACCTGTGACCTGTATGAGTAATTGGGAGAACGATTCATCTACTATTATTTTAGATAAAAATCAACATCAAGGGGCTGGAGCGATAGCACAGCGGGTAGGGCCTTTGCCTTGCACGTGGCCGACCTGGGTTCAATTCCCAGCATCCCATATGCTCCCCTGAGCAATGCCAGGAGTAACCTCTGAGTATCGCCAGGTGTGACCCAAAAAGAAGAAATAATCAACATCAAGAGATTCCAGTGGGTCGCAATTCCAGTCCTGGGAAGATACCCCGGAGAGGCAAAAATGTATAGTCGAAGCCACATCTGCAATTGTCTGTTCATTGCAGCACTGTTTACAATAGCTAGAATCTGGAAAATACCTGAATGCCCAAGAACAGATGACTGGTTAAAGAAGCTTTGGTACATCTACACAATGGAGAACTATGTAGCTGTCAGAAAGGATGAAGTCATGAAATTTACATACAAGTGGTACTACATGGAAAGTATCATGCTAAGTGAAATGAGTCAGAAAGAGAGGGATAGACATAGAAAGATTGCATTCATCTGGGGGATATAAAGTAACAAAATAGGAGACTAACACCCAAGAATAGCCGAGATAAGTACCAGGAGGATTACTCCATGGCTTTGAGGACAGCCACACACGCTAGGGGAAAAGGCAGCTCAGATAGAGAAGGGAGCACCAAATAAAGGGTGTTGGGAGGTTCCTCTCAGGATGGGAAATGCGTGATGAGAGTAGACTATAGTCCGAACAAGATTGCCACTCAATGTCTCTTTTGCAAACCACAGCACTCAAAAGGAGAGAGATAACAAAAGGGAATGCCCTGCCACAGTGGTAGAGTGGGATGGGGGGAAGGGGGTGGGAGGGATACTGGGACTGGTGGTGGTGGAGAATGGGCACTGGTGGAGGGATGGGTATTCGATCATTGTATAACTGAAACCAAAGCACAAAAATTTGTAAGTCTACAACTGTACCTCATGATGTTTCACTAATAAAAATTTAAGGAAAAAAACCTCAAAAACAACAACAACAACAACAACAAAACCAAACAAACAAAAAAAGAGATTCCAGTGGGTCACTCTAAGTTCCAGATAGCAAGCCATAGATATACATATCTTTTTTTGGGGGGGTCACACCTGGCGATGCCCAGGGTTACTCCTGGCTCTGCACTTAGGAATTACTCCTGGCAGTGCTCAGGGAACCATATGGGATGCTGGAAATCGGACCCGGGTTGGCCTCGTGCAAGGCAAACGCCCTACCCATTGTGCTATCACTCCAGCCCCCCATCTCTTCCTCTTACTAGTGAAGATGAGCAGGTCTAGATGCAGAGCGGGATTTAAGAAAGCCAAATAAATATCAGTGATTAAGAAATTGGTCTTGGGGACTGAAGAAATAATATAGCAGGTAGGCTGGATGCCTTCCATGTGGCTGACCTTAGTCCCGGGAGCCCCATTAGGAAGGATCCCTGTGCACCGAGCCAGGAGTAAGTCTGGAGCACCCTCAGGTGTGGCCCACAAAAAAAACCAAAACAAAACAGAACTTGGTCTCATTTTATGAAGAAGAGCATTATAACACATACTCTTGTGAATGAGGTGAAGCTGCTAAATAAAGAACGATGGTAAACTATTTCTTGCAGTTACTAACCAGGTTTCTACATAGGATTTGCTTTTACTTTCAAATTTAGAACCCTGAAAAGACTTTTTATGTCCACGACACTTAAAAAACAAAACAAAACAAAACAAAACCCCAAACTTGGCCTCTCCAGTTTGACCCACCTGGGTTTAAGCACTAGTTCATCTAGTTATCAGCTCTGATGGCTGGAGTGATAGCACAGCGGGTAGGGCGTTTGCCTTGCACATGGCTGACCTGGGTTTGATTCCTCGTCCCTTGCGGAGAGCCTGGCAAGCTACCGAGAGTATCCCGCCCGCACGGCAGAGCCTGGCAAGCTCCCCATGGCGTATTCGATATGTCAAACACAGGAACAACAAGTCTCACAATGGAGACGTTCCTGGTGCCCGCTCGAGCAAATTAGTGAACAATAGGATGACAGTGCTACAGTACTATCAGCTCTGACATTGAGCAAGTCATTGAACGCCTCCAAGCCTCAGTCTGTGTATCTATGGAATGGGAAGGAGAAGAGCAGGCAGGCAGCATGGAGCTGGGGGGAGACCCTGAGTAGCCTTTAGCTGGGTCTCTGTATGCAGAGCAGCTCCCAAGGCCACTCAAGGACCCTCATGCTGGCAAACAGAAACCAGGGGCAGTTCTCTGCTGCTTCTCACCTGCTCACCTGGAGAGGAAAGGGGCTTGCGGATGGGGCACGGACAGCATCTGGGGGAGCATGAGCATTAAAATGGGTTTTGACTGGGGGACGAGGCAATAGTACAGTGGGAAGGGCATTTGCCTTGCATGCAGCTGACCCGGGTTTGATCCCCGGCATCCCATGGGGTTCCACAAGCACTACCAGGAGTAACTCCTGAGTGCAGAGCGAAGAATAAGCCCTGAGCACCGCCGGGTGTGACCCAAAAAGCCAAAAATAAAAAATGGGTTTGACTAGTAGGGAAAATATTTCCTTCTTCCTACTTGCCAGACATTTGTTCTGTATCACTAAGAGTTTCTCCCCAGGGCTGGAAAAAATAGTGCAGGGGTTCAGTGCCTTGCATGTGGCCAATGCCAGTTCGATTCCTGGCATCCCCTGTTTCCTCAAGCACAGTCAGGCATGACCCCTGAGCTAGGGCTAGGAACAGTCCCAGAGCACTCCGTGTCTACAGCTATCTCACCCTGATGCAGCCGATCTTGCCTGAGCACCCTTTACCCAACACTGACCCAACCCTCCCTTCTGAAATAGAAAAAAGTTTCCCTCTTAGAGAAAAGCTTAGAATTCCAGAAAAATCTGTGAATGCCTGACGTGTCTTGTAATCCTTTGAAGGATTACAGCCAAAATCCAAAAAAGGGAACAGAGAGGGAAGGGCAGGGTGCTGATCCAAGATCTCCATATCGTTTGAATTCTGAAAAGGCAAATCTGGAAGCTGCAAAAGAGAAGCCTGCATCTGCATGAGTTCAGGCCGATCCATGTCATTGGAAGGATAAAAATTTCACGGGGTGCAATTCGGCTGTCTTCACGGTCGAGAGAATAACCGCCTGCAAAGCCCGATATGGACCAGAACAGAGCCATGCACCATGACTGAGCCCTGAGTGTGTCTCGGGCCAGTTGGCTGAGAGACTGGCTTATTTTACAAAAAGATGGCCAGAGACGAATGAAAGCATCCAGAGGGACCCTCTGCGAAGGGGCAGGTGAAAGAAGGAAAAGGCAGAGTTCACTGTACTCTGCTGGGTAGAGTGGGGGAGAGGGGGATTTGAGAAGGAGGAGGGGCGAGGAGGTTTGTGTCGGTGGGGGATGGAAGGTCACCCCTGAAATCGAGAATACTACAGCACTGTCTGGAGGAGGAAGGGGGAGAGGGGGATTAACTGGCTCTTTGCAAACACAGGAAGCTAAAAACTCAGGCATGAATCTTCACCAAAGAGCAGGCATGTAAAACACATGAGCACAGGTGTGCTGTCCTTGCTGCCTGTGTGCTTGCGTCCCCCCTGACGCAGGCTCGTAGGTGAACGTCTGTGCCTATGGGGAAGGCACACAGTGGTGGACGTAGCTGCACTAGGTTAGAGCGGTCAGATGGGTCTAGAAGGCGATATATACCGTATCCACAGCAGGGACCAGTCATGGCCACACTGTGCACCACGACCAAAGCACAGCTCATCACTAGCTGATGAGGCGAGGCTGGTACAGGCCTGGGGAAGATGCAGCCCCATTCTGCAAAGGTGTATGTGGGCAGGCCGAGTCGCCGGAGGGCCTCCCAGGTCAGAGCATGTGGGGTAACAGCTCCGCCCGAATCTAGGATTTCAGGGAAAAGCCGAGGCCAAGGGGAGAACAAGTGAGAGAGGGATGGACAGATGAGAGGGCAGGACAGGTGTCAATCAACACCCACGCCTCTCCCTGGACGGCACAGTTCTCTCCTAGAGCACCTCACCACTGCCCTTTCCTGCCTCGTCTTGCTGTCCCCACCAAAGACACACGGATGAGACCATGATCACACTCCCTAACATGTGTAGCGGCCCAAAACCAAGGCTCTGCGCGTCCGAGACAGACGCTTCGGAATTTTGCACTTTTTGTTGTTTCAAAGACATTTATGTTGGGACGGATGCTGAGGCCAGCAGCCAAACCCCATGGTGGCACATGGGCACATGATGTCGCGGCTTCGGAAACACCTTTGGGTTCTCTCACCCCAGGGGAAACTCCCGCTCACCTGGGATCACTCCCAGTCTCCCCTGAACTCTGCAGCACTCACTGTGCCTACGGGCACACTGTGTTCGTCTCTGCTGGGGCCCAAGTAGCCAGCCTTGGAACCCCAAAGGCACCAGCAAGGCCCATTCCCACAGTTGGCCCAGGTATTTGGGGCAGTGTGTGCACACGTGTGTGCATGTGTGTACTTGTGTGTGTATGTGTGTGTCAGTATGCGTGTGTGCATATATGTGTGTGCGTACGCATGTGTGTATGTGTGCGCACATGTGAGTATGTGTGTGTTTGTGAGTGTATGTGTGTGAGTGCGTGTGCGTGTGTGTTTGTGAATGTGCATGTGTGCGCACATGTATGTGTGCATACACATACATGTATATGTGCGTGCATGTATGTGCATGCACAAGTGTGTGTGCATGAGCACATAGGTGCATGTGTGTATGTACATTCATGTGCGTGCATGTGTTTGTGAGTGTGCGTGCATGTTTGTGCATGTGTATGTTTGTGAGTGTGATGTGAATGTATGTGTGTGTGTGAGTCTGTGTGTGTCTGTGTGCATGTGTATGTGTGTGCGTGCATGTATGTGCATGCACAAGTGTGTGTGTATGTGCACATAGGTGCATGTGTGTATGTACATGCATGTGTGTCCATGTGTTTGTGAGTGTGCGTGCATGTTTGTGCATGTGTATGTGTTTGTGAGTGTGATGTGGATGTGTGTGCGTGAGTGTCTGCATGTGTGAGTATGTGTGTGTGTGCATGTGTGTATGTGTGTGTGCGTGTGTGTGAGCTCTCACCTGTACAGGAAAGGTGCGACTGTGGCAGTGTTGGGGTGGCTGTACTGCTGCTGGGGCTGAGGTAGCTGAACACTGACAGTATTGCTTCCCGTGGTCTGGGTGGTACCCACAGACCCACTGACAGTCTGGCTGCTGATGCTGTGGTTCAGGGTGGTCGCTCCCGGGCCTCTGCCTTCAGAGGACGCCAGGCTGGAGGAGGAGCTGGAGTGTCTGCCGTCCAGCTGGGGCTTCTGCTGGGAGAGCCCTGAGCTTGGCTTCCCGGCCCGGCTCCGCTCGCCCTCCTTGGAAGGGGCCGGGGCACTTGGGGACTTCACAGGCACGCTCTTCATCCCTGGCTTGGGGATCCCGCTCTGGGAAGGGGCGGCTGCCTCCTTCTTGGCACTGTTGAGTTTCCCCCCTTTGGGGATGAAGCTGGCAATCTTGGAGGACTTTTTTGGCATCTCGATCACGGCAGCCCCTCCCAGGTCTTCTTTGGTGCCCTCCCGGAGGTCGGGCCTCTCTGTCACCGACACCCTCTTGGCCAGGTCCCTACTTTTCTCCTTCTCCTTCTCCCGCTGTTGCTTCTCCTTTTCTTTCTCGTTGCCTTTTGGGGAGCTCTTTTTGGTGGTGAGTGCCCGGCTAAAAGTCCTCTGCGCAATGCCCTTGAGGGCGATTTTGGGGCTGCTGGACGAGGGGCCTAGGGCAGAGAGCGTGCGGCCGGGGATCTCCATCTCTTCGCTCTCTTCAAAGCTGGGGAGGCTCTCCAGCCGCTCGCAGCTCGTGTCCCGGGAGCCCGGGCCCTCACCCGCCTTGGAAGCCCCTTTGCTGTTGAAAAGTTTGAGCTTCTCCAGCATGGACTTCTGATTGTTGGGGGCTGGCTTCATGGCTTCCGGGCTGGGCCGGGGACTCTCAGGCACGGGCTGTTTGACAGACAGCATGCACGATGTGGTGCTGGGCTTCACACTGCCCGATGACTTGCTACGCCAGGGCTTGGATGTGGCCCCGGGCTGGGGGATGGCTGAGGAGGAGCTGCAGCTAGCAGGCAGGGAGCACTCCAGTGCGGCAGATGCATTCTCGCTCATGCCCGGATGGGAGGAGGCTGGACTCACCGAAGGCTCTGCGGAGAGAGGGAAGAGGAGGAGACCGGGGTTACCGGGGCCCAGCACTGGGGGGAGGGAAGGTGGGAGGGATACCCTGTTGGCAGAGCTGATGGCTGTCAGCCTATGGCTTGCATGGCTCCCAAACCTGCTTCTGGCATTACCTGAGGCTCAGTGGGAAATCCTACCTGGATTTCCTCCTGCTTTCCAGCTCACACACCTCACTTACAGTTCCCGCCCTCCCATGCCAATTTTGGTGTCTGCTCTGCAGGTGCGTGCCGACCTGAACATGCACAATTCAGTGTCGACATTCACAGAGCACACACATACAATCTGTAGCCCGGTGGTGCTGAAGAAGAGAAGAAACATCATTTTCTTCTAGTGTCCGGACCATGCCCTGTGGTGGCCACAAGCTACTCCCCAAGACTCTGGACTCAGAGGTTGCTGTCAGTGGGGCTCAGGGGACCACATAATACACATACCATCATATTCACATAATATATTCACACACTCACATATATACATTCATATACACACAATACACATACTCACATACACACAAACATATCTACACATACACACACACACACACACACACACACACACACACACACACACACCCCTGCCGAAGCCCCATCCATCATGGTCAGGCTGACTCTGGTGCCAGGGATCTGGTCTGGGGCTCCCATAGACTCAGTCCACTGATGATCATCTCTCCTGCCCAGCGATAAATTTGGGGAGAAAGGAGTTGGGGCCACACTTGGTAGTGCTCAGGGGTGAGCCCTGGCGATGCTCAGGGGTTCTGGGGATTGGAAGCAGGGCTGCGGCCAAGGAAGCTGCATGCAAGGCAAGTGCCTTCCCTCCTGCTGGGCCTGAGACAGGCTTCCCAAGCTCAAGAAGTCTAGGGGGTGGGTCCCCACTGGCAATTCTCAGCCACTGGGTTGTCCATTCACTGTGAGGATTCAAGGACATGATGCTACTCCAGCCAGGTGGTGATTGGGATTTCCTCGCCCACCCCATGTAGTGCTAAAGTGTGGGTCCAGGGCTTCTTGTGGCAATGCTGGGGAACACATGATGCCAGCAACTGAACCCAGCTTGGGCACTTGCTAGGTGTGTACCTTAACTGCTGCATTATCTCCCAGCCCCATTCATGAATTTCTACCCACTCTCCTAGTTAAGAGAAAAAAGAAAAATGACCCAAATCGGATCGAATGTCTAGCAGGTAGGGTATTTACTTTGCATGCAACCAACCCGGTTCAATCCCCAGCATCCCATATGGTCCCCAGAGCACTGCCAAGAGTAATTCTCAAGTGCAGAGCCAGGAGTAACCCCTGAGCATCACCAGGTGTGACCCAGAAAGCAACAAAACAATAAAAAAAAATCCTCAACTCTGAGACGACAGTGTAGCAGAGATCTTGAAATAGAACTGATTAAAAAAAACATAGTAAAGGAAGAGAAACCACATATAACCTTTAGAGGAGAATAATTACCCACCAAGACTGCTAAGTCCTGTCGAAGCATACCAAGCTCTCCTCTGCTGGTATTTCTAAGGATCTACGGTCACAACTCAGGCTGGACTGAAGAAAACACTTTCCAACTCGAGGCTAAGCCGTGCACATGGCTTTACCAGAGCAAGAAAACACGCAGGTTATCTGAGAGTCAAGGCTTCCCCTTGGCGCTCGCTCAGTCCTTCCCCAGCCAGATTCTTTTCTCAGAAAAGCCTCAAAGTATTTCCAAACTAGAAGCAGATTCAGCCGGGCTCCCAACTGGAGCTCTGCGAGTCCCCTCTGGCCAGGAGCACAGCTGTGAAGAGGGCAGCCCGTCTTCCAGGAGGCCAGGGAAAGTGTGGCAGGGGCGGCCCGGTGACACCTGCCCCTCACCCACGACCCCCAGGGATGCAGACAGACAGGCAGCAGCACCCCAGCCTCAAGGAGGACATGAGCACCCGCCACTTCCCAATGACAGACTCACCCCGTCACTTTCTCCCGCAGCGAATCCCGGGGAAAGACGCTTCTACTGGCGAGGCCGCCCTTCCCATGCTCACAAGTGTTTTCCGTTAAACCGCTCATGTTTCTAATTAACTTTTGTCATCCGCAACTGCTCCAGTGCCCAGAAGCCTGTCCGGATTAACGGCTGCTTCTTCTGCCTCTCCCCACACCCCCCGCCCCACTCCACTCCACTCCACTTCCCCCCACCCCACCCCCCGCCCGCATCCCGTCAAATACCTATGTTCTAGGGCCTCCAGGCAGCAGAGTAAACTGTATATAGAGCGGCTTTTTATGATTTAAACGTCAACGGCTGCTGCGGCCGAGTGAAGGCAGCCCCTGTGTGGGGCACAGGCGTAGCCGCCGCGCGAATGTTCCTTCACTCTCAGCTGCTCAGGGAAGCCGCAGCTCCGGGGTGATCCAAAGCAGACCTCCCAGCACTGTAAAGCACATACATCTTCCTGACTTGCTGGGGCTCTGGGCTTGCAAGGGGAGAGCGAGCTGGACACTCCTCCCAGAGAAAGGCACGGGCGCGATGCTGAAACCTTTCCTGGGGAGAGCCGGAGATGGTCTTGGAGAGTGAGAGAGGCGTGTACCCACTCACACTGCCAGCCTTTGGGGGGTTGTCCATGCCTGCTGGTGGATGGGGTGGGAAGGGTGGGGGGGATTCTGGGGCTTGGGAGATGCAATGCTGGAGTGGCAACGGGTGCTGCCAAGGGGGTTGTAAGTGAGGAGACGCAGCTGCACACGGGCTGACAATGTGCTGGAACCCACACGGTCACACAAGGACCTCCCTGGGAGTTGAACCCAGGGCCATGGGTCTACATGTGCTCTGGGACTACACGGCAACAAGCTCCTCAGGTGAAGAATACACTTTACTTGGCCTACGGAGCTCCGGGTTCGACTCCTGGAATGGCGTGATCTCCCTGGCATCTCTGGGTGTAGTTACCCCTCCCACCCATACTGCTGGGTATGGCCCCCAAACTAGCATCAGCTATGTAAATGGCTAGAGAGTGCTTTTTAGGTAGCACAGTAGCAACTGTCATTCCGTTGTTCTTCGATTTGCTCAAGCGGGCACCAGTAGCGTCTCCATTGTGAGACTTATTACTGTTTTTGGCATATCAAATACGCCATGGGGAGCTTGCCAGGCTCTGCTGTGCGGGCAGGATACTCTCGGTAGCTTGCTGGGTTCTCGGAGAGGGACGAAGGAATCGAACCCAGGTTGGCCATGTGCAAGGCAAACGCCCTGCCCGCTGTGCTATCACTCCAGTCCAGTATTTGACTGCTTTTTAGGTATTGTCTTTCTCTCTCTCTCTCTCTTTTTAATTTTTGGGTCATACCTGGTGGTATTTAGGGAATCCGTCTTGGTGGTGCTTGGAGGACCATATGGATGCTGGGGATTTAACTGTGGGTCAACTTCATGCAAAGCAAGTGCTATAACCTCTAATACTATCTGGGTTAGCCTTTTCTACTGCTAAGGTATTTTATTTCCCTGATCCACTGGAAAGAGGCTGCCTGGATTTATCACAGAAGCCACTGGCTCTCTGGGTACAGGAACAGTCGCTTTCAATCCCAAGTTCTGCATCTTTTTGGGGTAACTCCCTCTCCCCTGGTTCAGATTGGGGGAAGAAGTCCCTGTTCACTCATTCAATGCAGCCATTCCTCGCAACATCCACTCCTCCAAGGAGCATCTTCCACGCGCCAGATGTTGTTCTTGGAACCTTGCATGCATCCATGACAAAACAAAGATCAATGTAATTCACATTCTAGTGTTCTTGGACTGTGGTCAGCCACAAGCAAGGCAAGTGCCTTCCCCCACGCACTCTCTCCAGACTTTAGCCACTGGTGTTTTTATTCAGACTTTTCAAGCCGGACTTGAAGGTGATGGGGGTGTGATATCTGTCACTCCAGCACTAGCACTATCCTCCCATTGTTCATTGATTTGCTCGAGCGGACCCAGTAACGTCTCCATTGTGAGACTTGTTACTGTGTTTGGCATATCGAATACGTCACGGGTAGCTTGCCAGGCTTTGCCGTGCGGCCGAGATACTCTCCGTAGCTTGCCGGGCTCTCCGAGAGGGGCGGAGGAATTGAACTTGGGTCGGCCAGATTGGCCGTGTGCAAGGCAAACGCCCTACCCGCTATGCTATCGCTCCAGCCCATCTGTCACTCACCCACTGATAAACTAGCGAACTCCGCTGACCTGGCTGGGCAGTAACCTCTCCTTCCCTCACTCCCCTCACTTCCTTCCTGAAGCTGCATGCTTCCATCTACCAGGGCAGCTGTGCCCAAATAAAGCTTTTGACTTCAATTCTGAAGGGAAAAACAGGAGATTCTGAATTCCTACTTGGAATCTGCCCAGAACACCAGGAATCCAGGACATTTCAAGGCAGCATGTAGAGAGATGGGACAGTGGGTAGAGCACTTGCCTTGCATGCAACTGACTATGGCTCAATCCCTGGCATCACATAAGATCACCTGAGACTACAGGAGTGAATCCTGAATCCAGAGCCAGAAATACCTGGCTAATACCTAAGACCTGAATACCTCTGGGTGTGGCCCAAAAACCTAAGAAAGGAAAAAAAAATTCTGCCGCTAAAGTATGTTCCTGATTTCCCAGTGGGGCAGGAACCTGTTTATTAATGGGGTGACAGATGTCACACCTTAATCACCGTCACATCTGGCTTGAAAAGTCTGAATAAAAACACCAGTGGCCAGGGGCTGGAGGGAGGGCAGGGGGGAAGGCACTTGTCTTGCCCATGGCTGACCACAGTTTGAAGGGTCAATATTGGTTCATTAACTGTAGAAAATATTACATGGTTACTAATGTAATATTAATACTAGAAGAAACTGGACGAGGGCATATGAGACCTCTATTACCTCTTATAATTATTTTGTAAATCCTAACATAAGAAAAACATTATTAAAAAACAAAAATGGTGCTGGAGTTAAAGCATAGCCAGTAGAGTATTTACCTCAGCTGAACTGGGTTCGATTCCCTACATCCCTGGATATAGTCCCCAGAGCCTGTCAGG